GGTGGGGAGTGTCACAATGTTTTGGTTGTTTATGTGTTCTCGGGGATTATGTAACATCCAACATAAAATGTGTTTATGACTTATCATCATTTGTTGAGGAGAAAATTGTTTTAGATCCTTTTTAGCTTTAGCCTCTTCATTGTTCTTAACTTGAAATGTAAAACCTGCTCTGTTGTCCATTATTTTCATATGTGTTTGGATTTAGAAGTTAAATGTTAACTCAATCTCTTCTTTTATTGTTAATTTTGTGGATATTTAAGCTCTTGGACTTACTCTATTTCGTTCTCTTTATTTCCAGGGAGTAAAGAAAACCCTTGTATTACAAGAAATACCCGAAGATGGAGTTAGAAAACTACTATCTAATAAAGAGTCGTTGGCTGCCTGTGATATAGCAGTATTTGTGCATGACAGGTAAACCAGGGCCTTAATCATTATATATGTACCTTTCAACTTCATTCAGTGCAATTTGTAAATCAAATATTCAAAATTTAAGGGCTTTGTAGCTTAGATTTTGATTTTTCATGGTTGTTTGTCTTCTGTTTCTTTGTAGTTCTAATGAGTCTTCCTGGAAGAGAGCAACTGAATTGCTCGTGGATGTTGCTACTCATGCTGAGGACACTGGATATGAGGTACCATGCCTCATTGTTGCAGCAAAAGATGATCTAGAGTCCTTTCCATTGGCAATACAGGATTCTACCAGGGTAGGTGACTAGTCTTCATTTTAAGTTAGCATTTAAAGTGACACATTGGAATCAAAAAGAAAAATTGTTTCTACATGGAGCTCAAAAACGAAAATCCATTCTTCTGGATGTGGATAATATCGTCATTATGCTGTTAACCTGAATGTTTTTTCTGTCAACAATTTGATCATGTTTCTTGTTAAAATTCACGTTTATTTGCTTAAAGTCCTTATGGAGGCAGTTCTCAAATAATCTTCCTTGTGTATGCATATTTTAAACTTAAATCACAGATTGATGAACTTTTAAGTTTAATTTCATTACCATTTGCAATGTTTGACTTCACTTGTTTGGTAATTACTAAGCATCTATAGCCCTTGGTTAAATAGAGATGTCAAATTAGCTCCTGATGTTTATTTTCATTGAAGCAATATTTTCTTTGTATAGATAGAAATCATGTCTCATGACTGTTGGCCTCATTGTAATGTGTGAGTTTCCCTTTTCCAAATGTTTTTATAGGGCTGGACTGAAATTGTATTTTGTTGCACTCTTTGCATTCATAGGTTAGTCATAACATGGGAATAGAGGCTCCTATTCCCATAAGCTCAAAGTTTGGTGATTTCAGTAACATATTCCGGAGGATTGTGAGTGCAGCTGAGCATCCTCATTTGAGGATTCCTGAGACTGAGGCTGGGAGAAGCCGGAAGCAGTACCATCGCCTCATAAACCGCTCTCTTATGTTCATTTCAGGTATTTTCAGCATTAAACTACTTGAAGTACAGTTGTTCATTAAGATTTCCTCATAATTCTGCTCAGATCTACAATCATTATGTTTTTAATCCTCATCACACACCGTAGCTAATTATGAATGTACCATTCTCTGCCTCTGGCTGCATGTTGTGTGGCAATTTTCAGCTGTCACCTCATAATCAATAATTTAATCTGTACTGTTGTGGTGTTGGTTTCCTTGCTAAGAGTTATTCGTGATTTTCTTAAATTAAAGTTTGCAACAAGAATCAGTCAATGAAATCATTTGTGCTAGATATTTTGATGGTATCCAAAATCTTTGCTGCAAAAGAGTACTGCTGAATGAATAGAGTCGTTCTCTTATTTAGACTCATTTAACTAGCAATGCCCTTTCAGCAGCCTCTTCCTAAATTGCTGAAAGCCTTTTTTCTTTTATTTTTATATTTTTATTTTTGTGCTTGTTTTTTCTGTGATGATTTACAGAATCTCTTTATTTTTAATTAATGGTAGTTTTATCTGCCTTATAAATTGCTACATTGCTTGTGTTTTCATCTTTTGCAGTTGGAGCTGCAGTGACAATTGTTGGATTAGCAGCTTACCGTGTATATGCTACAAGAAAGAATTCCTCCAGTTGAAGCATGAAGGATTGTGATTCTCCAATATACCTCTGGTAGTTCCTTCCATTTTTTTCTAGGATTCTCCATTGGGTTAATGACATTTTCCTCATCTGTAGAGAAATGTGGCAAATTCATCAGTTTGCTGTATCAAGGGTACTATTGCTTTGAGCTGTAGAAATTGACTAAGATGATACGATGGAATGACTTACTGTGCAATAGAAAAATTTTGTTGTCTAATTATCCCTTTCAACATATTGACTTATTATCATTATCCGATATCACTTTATTGATCTATGACTTGGGAACACAATATTGTTGCTCCTTCTGGTCTTCCTTTCTTCATCACCACATGTATTCATCATGTGTGGGATGTCAACTGAAGTCGCTGTAACATGCAGTGGTGTTCGATTGGCCTCATCTGTCTTCGCCAGATTGTAGCTTTTTTTTTACCTTATTTTTTTTAGAAGGTCACATGGAAGGTTGAAGATGGCAAGATTTGCAATGATTTTGTTTAGCAGTATATTTCAATAAAATGTAACAATGAAAGATTGAAAGGGATCCCAAGAGCCAAGTTAACAGTGTAAGCGTTGCTTTTAGTAGCTGTCTATTGGGCAGTCTCAGGTTCCGTTATCAGCTGATTTCTAGGGTATAATTGGCATAAAAATGTAAACTTTTGGTTTGGATTAGAAAAATGTAAATTAGTCAAAACAATAGTTGTCATTTTTGTGAAAATTGAAAAATGGAATGCATTTCAACTTTTGCGTCACAACTTTAGCTCACAATCCTACATGGAGGGGGGCATGTTTGTTCTCCCTTCTTTAGATTTTAAGTCCTTCAACAATACTTTTATATAAACAATATCTTATCTAAAAATATAAAATTTTAATTTTTAATATATATTTATATGTTTTATTAATTTTAATTAATGTTTTTATGTATTTTGAGATAATAAAAGTTAAAAGCACTTAAAATGATAGTTACAATACAACACAGTATTAACAATAATAAATAAAAATTGTCTATGCTATTGTAGTTTAGAATTTTGTTGTGTTTACACATAATTGTAAAATTGAATAGGGTGTGATCTCTTGTATGCATGTACCTCACATGGCACTATAGGAGGATATCAACTAATTGAGTGAAATTAAAACTTTTGTTTGTTAGTGTTATGTTGTGGCCATAATTATAATTTTTTTTTTAATATCTGAAAAATATATAAAATATCAATCAATTAAAATTAATAAAAGGATATGAAAAATGTTTTAAAATTAATTAAGTTATAAATTCAAATTTTAGTGTATTGTCAAATGAAACATAAAACGTAAAAGTAACTGAGATGTTTATGAAGAAATTTGTATATAAATAAATGATAACTACAACTCTCAAAGGGCTTAAGGAACAGTAGATGAGAGGTAGAGTCTTCCCTTTTTTTTTTCTTAAATTCATGTATTTTTAGTTTTCAATAATTTTTTTTTGTTTTTTTACTTGAAACTTAAATGACTTATTAATAATAATTTTTTCTAGTTTAATTTAGAGGTTAATTAGTGGAGATGTAAGCATATATGGATGAGGATTATCTTGCTACAAGGGCACCAATATCGAATGAGGTGGAGTTTGCACAGAATAAACTGTATTTTACTTATATATATATAGAATAAACTGTATTTTACTTATATATATATATATATTTATAAAAACTCAATATAAATTTAAATGAGATG